TGTGCATCTCATCACTCACTTCATTATTTAAGTGTATTTCAGTTATTTGAAGAGCCCCTCCTTTTAAAAGTAGTAAATACGTACTTTCTTACTTTCGTGAACTACTTCTCTTCAGAGAAATAAACCTTTCTTCTGCCGGATTGACGAGCTAATGGATGTAAATATAAAATATCTCCATTCTCCAACATTAAGCACCTCATAGGGATGCTCCTAGGGATGCAACGATACCACTTTTTTCCAAACCGATGCGATACCGATACTAGGATCTGAGTACTCGCCAATACCGATACTTCTACCATACAAAAAAGGCAATGATTTGGAATACAGATTTTATTTTCATCTCTGCTTTCAACAGGAAAAGACCGTGAGGTAGATAAAAAGTAAAATATATGAATGGAAATTATCACAAAACTAAAATATTAGGTGAACAGAAATGACAAGTTACAGTGAAGCCTTTTTCAAGCAACTGCATTGGTATCGGTTCCAGGTATCGGTTAACTTTTACCGATACTGGCATTGGTATCGCATCGGTACCAATATCAGTATCGGTATCGGTGCATCCCTAGATGCTCCTATCGGATCATGTGGTCGGAAACGAGGCCATATCATGTGATATTTAAATGTTTGGAATTGGGTGCGAAAGATTGAATTCATCCATATGAAACAAGATTTTAAATCAGTCCTCAGGTGGAGATTTTCAAATGCAACAACGATGGCTTAGCTTTCATTTTAACGAGTTCCACCTACATCGATATTCATTGTTGCACAAATGACAACACCATGATGTCACAATTAACTGTAGGCAAGGAAATTAGGCACTATAACATTGAGCTGTTAGCTTAGTCAGTATGGCTCCCCATCACTGATTTGTTTATATTACAACAGAATAGATGACATCATCCTCAGAAAAACGCTGGTTTTTTGTTAAATTATGCTGCTAATTGTCAGCCTGTGTCATAATTATCACGCTCACACACGTCACAGTCCTGCTGCATGCGTTTGGGGGGAATTCAACCCTTCAGTGGAAGGGCCTTTGTGTGAAAAACAGGCTTAACATTGCTCGCATGTAAGGAGGCAAAGCTGAGTGCTGCTCGTTTCCCATCAGTGAGTAACAGGACTGGTCAGCCATGTTTAATGTGATCAGCTGCTGGACTGGATCACACATCGCTGCTCTGCTCCGATTGTGTTGATATGGTTCAAAAACTCAGGTGGATGATATGTGTACTTTTGTGGCATTTTCTTCTTTAACAAAACATTTGAGTCCTAACGACTCGATGTTTTATTGTCTTAGTTAAAACAAATTTTTCTTGCATTTAATTTGTATTTATTCCTATCAAATACAGTAAGTGGAAAAGGTCCAGAAAAAGGAAACTTTATATGGTAGACTTGCATTAGTACTGAGGCAGAAGAGTCGCAGGAAGTGAATCATCCTGATGTAATCCAAACATCCCAGTTCGTCTGGATGAAGCTGACTAAAAACCTCAGAGTGAATCTCTTCAGTAAGCTGTGACGAATGCTCGGCGATGTGTCACAGATAAAGGGCTGTGCTCATTTCATGTGTCCTTAAATGATTTCGGTAGATGTGTGGATGTTTTGAGCCAAAGGAGGTTCTAGTGAACCTAACTGATCCAACCACCCAGGTAGGAAAAACAAAGGTGTCCTTATGTCATCCCAAGGAAAGCATTTGTCCTTATTCCTTCGTTGGATAGGCAGCTGTTGTTGTTTATCTCTGCTTCAAGCAGATTTCTCCCATGACAACACAGCGGCGACACGCTGACTCCATCTGGTTTCAGGTCTTTGTGATATTCGCAGTGAAGGGGTTAAAGACACCTGTCTGCCTTGTAAGCTCCGCCCCCTCACCAGCCAGAGTGTAACCCATTAATGGTGGCACAGCTGGCATGCTCCAGTGGGAGTGACCCACCCTGGCATCATTCAGATCTCCCCACACCATCTGTCAGCCCTTTTGTAGGGTGTGTGTGTGTGTGTGTGTGTGTGTGTGTGTGTGTGTGTGTGTGTGTGTGTGTGTGTGTGTGTGTGTGTGAGAGAGAGAGAGAGAGAAATGAAATGTACCTTTTCCATATCCTCACACCTCTTAATTGATAGCAGTGAATCGTGATTGTTGTTCTCATTAGTTATTCATGTTCTCTTCCTACATGACCGGAAAAGCTTGTTCAGCTGTCCTAGTTGTCCCTGTCTGTGACCTCCTTCTGGTCATGCTTGCCCCCTCCTGGCCACTCGTGGTAGAGCTCAGCAGAAGGGTTGGATGTTCCCATCTCTAATCAGCATTGATATTTTTACTTGCACGTGGCCTGTTGGATCCAATAAGCACCACTCAGTGAGTTTATGTTCTAATTACTGCTTTTAGTTGCTGTTTTATAGGCTTGTCTGAACGCTTTGCAGATGTTGGTAAAAATGTTTAAGATGATTACAAATCTCAGGAGATTATTTAATGCTTCTGTTCAAGACAAATGATCACTATGTGGACACTGTTTACTGACTATGATAATGTGGATGAAAGACGTAGATGTATGCATATGCAGAAATGATTTGTGTCCTATTTGGCTTCTTATGCAAATCATTGGTTAATGGAACACAGCAGTTTCCTGCTCCTTTGCCCTACTGGCTGAAAGTTGAATTACAACTACCATAAACAATGCTGCCGCAGTGCTACCAATGAGCAAACACTATTATGAGCCAAGTCTTACTAAATAAGCCACTAATAAAAAAGATCCACATTGTTGGACAAACAATATTATTACTTACAAGTCCAGCAGCAACAAAGCCAGGTAATCATCAGCCTTTTTCAGCTTCTTCAAACTAGTGTAGGCCACGCCGCTGTTTACTCTGGTTTTAGCTCTTTGCTTCACCTCCAAAGACATTACTCTTACTTTTACATCCAGGCTCAGCCATGATGCCAACAGAAAAGCTCTTCTTGTACTTTTTATTGATGATCATCAAAGTGAAAATAGCTAACAGCCGTAATGCAGGTATAAGGACGCGCCCTAGAACACCCACCTGCTCCACAAAACTGTTAAGTGCAGTATCTGGCCAGCAGAGGGCTGCAGAGTGGTGTCAGATTCAAATTCAATTCAAATTCAAAAATACTTTATTAATCCCAGAGGAAAATTAGAGTTTCAGTATACACAATTCTGAGATCAGACATACATAGACACATGACAAGAATTGGTGACTGTGGTCATTCGCAACCCGAGTCACGCTACCGTAATAGATCAAGAGGGTTTATATGAGGATAGAGTCAGGGGGAGGGAAAAAAGGCACTTCAGAGTAACCCTCCACAGAGAGGGTAGATTTGCTATGGAGCAGCGCTCATCACCTCCGTTTGGAGAGGGGAGGGAGGTAATGGGTTAGAGGGCACAGTGACTCCTAGATACGGTTCCACAGCCTTCACTGGTCACAGTCCCACCCAGGCTGGGATAGGGAGAAAGAGTTTCCATAGCGACGGCAGCATTCCATATTTCTTCTGAGGGGGGAGTAATCACTTCAGCCTCACAGGCTCCAAGGACACCAGATTCAGATAAGAATTGTTTTGGGGACAGACAGAGATAATTTCCTCTCTGTCTTAGTGTTCTGTTGGTCTACATCCCCTCTAGATCCAATAATGGCGTAATTAATCTATCCCAATCCGTGCTGATCCGTCAACTCTCTCCTTGATGGAATCCACCTTCTGTGCCAGAGCCTGAATCTCAGCCAAAGTTCCAAGCTTACGACTCATCGACAATTATGAGTTTGTGCGTTCACAGCACGATGCATTCCATCCCTGAGCTCCGGGATTGAGCCAGTATTCCTCGAAAGCTTGTTCATTTTCCAGTAAGCCAGGTAACTGCTCAGGCCAAACAGCAGGAATCCCGACACCAAAATGACAAATATCCAAACATCTTCAGAATCCTCTACAGACAGTTGAGAGAGGCGGATCAGGTTCCACTGTTTCCAGGAGTCCATGATATACCCAGCTGGCTCTGTCCCAGAGGGACATCCAGGAGCCCCTTCTCCCGTTCTCATCGTTGAAGAAAATGTTGTCAATCGCATTGAGAGACCAACTGACCAGATCCATTTTTAATAATTTCCAGTTTCCAGAAAAAAATGCTGAAAGCGCCGTGCACACAAGACAGGACAAAGAGCCTTGGGAAGAGGAGGGAGACGAGAAAAAAAAGCGTCTGTACTCTCCAAGAGCCGGAAGAAGATATGAAACATAGTCAAGTTTCTAACCCAACAATCACTGAGATCAGTGTTAAAGCACTAGCTAAAGGTTTAGGAAACTATTTAGTGTTACTTTATTGTTGCAACATTTCAGTTTAGCACTACTGAGTTTCTGAGTCAGCACCACGGTTCAACCCTTGACTCAGATGTTTTCAAAGGCTTCAGATACTCGATTACTGGACTGAAGTTGCATCAATCCAAGACAAAGTCCAAGAAGAACTTTGAATTCTTTCAGAAATCCTGAACAAATATTGGTCCAGACTTCTTAAAAAAATGAAAGAAAGTGGTTTGATGGGTAGAAAATGTAAAAAATGAGGGATGTTTTAGCCTTTTTCTGTTATACTACAGTTTTGCTTTCATATCAGAATGATATTTGTCACTAGTCCCACAAGCACATCCTCCCCAGTGCAGGCTTACAGGATGTTCCTGAGGCTCCAGTGCTGAAGTGGCTCTTATTTCCACCTGTTGGTGTGTATTAGGGCCTCATCACCCTTTAGTCCCTGCAGCTCATTAGTCCATGCATGTACTGTTGTCTTCTACTTGGACCTGTCCCCTCTATCCTCTGCCAGAAATCTGCCTCTGTGTGCTTCATTGTGGTTTGTCCTTCTTTAAGTACGTTAAGGTGGTGGGTCATGTGCTGCTACTGGTGTGCAGTGTCATCGACTTTGCTCAGTCACAAAAGTCCTCCTTCTCCTTTTCTGTTCTCACTCATAACATCTTTCCTTCTGATGGAATTGTGTTACCCCGAGACGTCTCTAATCCCAGCTACTGGCCTCCAACAGAACAACGACAACGAGACCCCTCTGCACTGTGCTGCCCAGTACGGCCACACACGGGTGGTGCGACTCCTGCTGGATGAGCTGACCGACCCCACCATGAGGAACAACAAGTTTGAGACCCCCCTGGACCTGGCTGCACTGTATGGTCGACTGGAAGTGGTGAAGTTGCTGCTGAGTGCTCACCCCAATCTACTCCACTGCAATGCCAAGAAACACACCCCACTCCACCTGGCCTCTAGGAACGGACACCTGTCTGTGGTGGAGGTGCTTCTGGGCGCTGGCATGGACATCAACTATGAGGTGTGCATTTTCTTCTGTTGCTAGTGTTTGCTAATGTGCTGTCATGGCCTAAATCAGGTTTAGGAACTTAATCTGGACCTGCAGCATTTATACCAAAGCTGAGATTAAATGCATCAGAATGGAGCTTTACTTCTACCCCCTGGTGGACCCTCAGGCTCCATCTCTGTGTCCAACTGTGCCCCCCATCTGTCTGGATAAATGGATAAATTATTTTGTCCTTAAATCAAGGAAATGGAAAGTGTTCAGCATCCATCAGGCTTTGCATCCTGCAGGTTTCTATTAGCACGGCCCTGTGAGCTGGAAAATAATCTACTTTCCCTACCCGACCACACACTTGTCAGTAAAAGCTGCAGACTGTGGAGTTGGCATGAGTCCAGCTCTGTTTTATCTTGGACAAGTGTTGGTACTAGAGCCATCCAGGACTGGTGGCTTTTACTTTGCCTGGTGAACGGTTACTTGCAAGGTCCTTGAGGCCAATAATAACTACAGGTGAGACTCAAAAAGTTGAAGAGTGGTGCAAAAGTTTTTTTATTTTTATTTAACTTTACTTCCATCTTTGACTGAGAAACCATCTAAAGGCCCCGGAACCCTCTGCAGGTGTTCTGGATTCATTGGCTGATTAGAGTGTGACACTTTGAGTCTAGAATATTGAACCTTTTCACAATATTCTAGTTCTAGATTCTAATGTGGTGTTTTCATCAGCTGTAAGCCATAATCATCACAGTTATGACAAATAAAGGCGGAAATATCTGGATTTGCATGGATTAATTCTACTTTCTAAGTACAATCACTGACATAAAAGAACTTTTGCACCATTTTTTCCATTTTGACCTGCAAATAATAACCAAAGTAGTATAAATAGTGAATCGCCTGTATTTGTACAGTGCCCTTCAGAGTCCTATGGCCTCCAAGGAGCTTCACAACACATCAGTCCTTCATCCATTCACACACACACACACATTCATGCACTGGTGCTTATGAGCTTCATTGTAGTCACAGCTGCCCTGGTGTGCACTGACACGGGCGAGGCTGCCGAGCACAGGCACCACCTGTCCCTTTACCCGCCACCAGCAGGCAGGTGGGTGAAGTGGCTTGGCTAAGGAAAGGAACAAGAACCTGCACCCCTCAGGTCACGGGGTGGACACTATGTCACCGTCGCCCTAAAATACCCAAACTAGACCGTGAAGTTGTCGGCACTCATGCTTCTGATTTCTGCTTTCCCATGTCAGACGGAGAAAGGCAGCGCCCTCCATGAAGCAGCCCTGTTTGGGAAGACTGACGTGGTCCAGAAACTTCTCAGTAAAGGTCAGAACTTGGTGCTGCACTGGTCACTTAAAGCACAAAATCAACACATTATGAAATATTTATAAAGCTGCATTTCTCCTTCCTTCTTTGTTATTATTTAACAGGCATTGATGTAAATATCCTCGACCAGAAGGGTCTGACGGCGCTGGACATCGTCAAAGACATGCCCTCCCAGAAGAGCAGAGAAATAGCTGCTCTCATTCTTGGTAAAATAAACATCTAACCAAGAGCAGCAGGGAAAGCACCTTCTGGATTAGTTGCGATACCATAATTTGTTGTTGTTGCAGGTCACATGACTGGAAAACACCCCATTATCAACCTTCCTCCTCCACCCATCCCTCCTCCTCAGGAGAGTCCCAGTCCACGGAGGAAGGGTGAGGATTACCAGATGTCCTACGATGAACTAAATCCAACACAAAGGGAAAGGTTGTGAGTCCTCTTGTTTGTGTTTGAACCTTGTGCTGTAGGTGAACTGGACAAGGTGACAGAGCTGATCTCAGGTCTGGCCCCGGACCCCGAGGAGGAGAGTCCATACGAAGCTCTGTTCGAAGCCACTTCCTGCCACTCTTTGGACAGCCTCACCAGTGGGAAGTCCTCAGACAGAGACTCAGGACGGCCTGATAGTGAAGTTGGAAAGGTGTGCAGAACTCTCACACCAGCACACCTTTAGTGGGAGGAGAGATCCAGAACCTCCACTAGAGGGAGGTAGTTGCATGTGACAGGGTTAGAAAACCCCAGCAGCTTCTCCTGGATTACCCAGAGCTTGGGAATGGATTTCTTTATGATGATCTGATAGTAAGAAGAACATTTTCAAACCAAAATGATTTATTGATTTACAGAAAGATCGCGCTGGCCAACCGGCACACTCTGGTCACTGCCATGATGAGGAGCTGAGCTCAGAGGTAAGGCCACAGGTCTGTGAGAACGTCTCACACAGCACCACCACCTTCAGACGTGGACTCCTCCGAGGCGACACGCTTCGATTCAGGAGTCGGCAGAAAAACAATTTCAGGTCTCTGAGAATGCCAGCTTCTCTTTGCTGCTGCTCTACTCATGACCTTTCTCTCTGCGGCCGCTGCTACTCACTTCATCACTCCTTGCTAAATGTTTGTCTGAGTGCTGCAGCGGAACCGCCAGCAGGGAAGCGAGGCGTAAAAGGAGTCTGGTCTGAACCCAGCTGACCCCAGAGAATGCCAAAACCTTTTTGGAGCTCCTATTTGCCTCCTCCGAAGGAGACGTCTGACAGAAGAGCTACAGCTAGCTGTGAATGCTAAGTAACCCATCATTACATCTGCTGTTCTCAGGTCCACTATACGAGTAGCGGTACTGATAAAAGAGAAGTAGTTGAGGAAGAGGAGGATCACACATACGAGTTGTTGCTGACGGCACAAACCAAAGTCCCACCGCCCAGCCACGAGTCCCAGTCCAATAAAGGTAATTGTTTGCTTTCAGGGAGGAAGTCATTGTGAGATTAAATGTACTTTCCACTTAGCTCTTTGTTTTCTTTTCTCCTAATAGGCTTCTTTAAACGTTCTAATCCAATGTTACTAGCTTTAGTAGTTTATTTTTGCACATGCTGAAGGAAAACTGCCTGTTTGTGTCCATTCAAACCTCCCAAATCCTGAACCGTATCATCTTCTTCAGCTCTTACAACTGATCTAATGTAAATGAATAAGATGAGATTAGTTTAAGAGCAGGGTGTCCGCAGGTCCTTAAAAAGTCTTAAATTAGCTTTTCCAAATTTAAGGCCTTAAAAATGACAAATAATCCTTAAATACAGTTTCCAAATGTCTTAAATTACCAAAGACCCAATAAACAAGATTCTTTTATTTCTGTAAAATTTTCGTGAATTTCTAGTTAGTGTTCAGCATTTTTGTGTGTGATGTTGCCGTAAGCGGAACCGTGCACGTTCAGCTGGTCGTGAAAGGGGGCTATTTTTAGATGAGCACATTAGCTGGTTAAGCTAGTGGGAGCTTGGTAGCCTGGCAAGCCAGACTAAATAAATGTATTATTTAAGCCCTTTTCAGATAGACATTCTGGAACATTTGCGGACAATTCAATCCGGTTTTTAACCGGAACTGTGTTTTCAGACACACCACTTTTGTACCGGAACTTGTCCTTTCGGCTGCGTTCACACAGCAGGGAAAAGTTCCAGATGTCTGACGGAGGCAGGGGGGTGGTGGGGGGAGAGAGAATCTGACTCATGTTAAGAAGAAGAAGAAGAAGAAACTATCATTTCTATAGTGCCTCTCAAGATAAAAATCACGAGGCGCTTAAGCATAATTCTGCGCACACGAAGACGCATAAGAGACCTGGATGATGAAGCTCAATGGTTAAAGGAATCGCTGAAGCGGTGTGAAGCGCTCCATCGCGCGTCTAGGCGGTACCGTAGGAGGCGAGCTGCCGTGGTTCGCCGCATTCTACAGCAGCGGGCTATCTAGGTGCGCACGGCGTCCCCCGGTCCCCTCCTCCTCCCCTTCCCCTTGTCCGGAACTTTACCTCACCAGTCTGAAGCAGCCACCCTGTCCGTAACAAGTCCGGACCTGTTACTAGGGGCTTTGTCCGGATAAATTCCGGAACACGTTATCCGGATGTTTGTATTCAGACACAAAGGTCTTACGGACAGAGTCCGGAACATTTCCGTTTTTCATGGCCTGTCTGAAGGGGGGCTTTAGTCTGGCCACGCTCCATTGACGGCTCTCGGTTGTGGGGCGGGTTCTACCGTTGTCTTTCAAATGATCTCCGTATTCCACTGGACAATGAATGTGACATACTCTTGTTTCACTCTGTTGCATCATCCCACCCACCAGGCATGAGTGCCCTGATTGGCCCACAAAGTGGATAAAGCTCTGTGATTTGTTCACTAAGCAGATAGAGCACTATGATTGGCCCACCATTGTGGACCAATCACAGCTCTTTATGTGTTTGAAACCCCTCTAGAGAGCTGTGATTGGCCAGCCAGAGTCCTGGTAGGAGCTGCGGAGGTTCCAATGGAGCGTGCCTAGACCATTCTTTGCAAAGCAAGAATTTGGTCTAGTTCACTAGGCTAGGAGCTTGGGCCATGAGGAAGTGCAAGTTTAATGGTACCTGGATGGCCAATCCCACGTTCACGACGTCGTTAGCACCGGTTCCAGGCAATAGCTGGAAATTATAGCTTAAATTTAATTTTTAAAAACAACTTAAATTTGGTCAAAGTGGCCTTAAAAAGGGTCTTAAAAAGTCTTAAATTTGACTCCCTTAAACCTGCAGATACCCTGTAAGAGGTCATTTTCATCTAGTTTAGCTTCACAAACACCAAATCATTTAAAAGCATCACCCAGCTGAAGACCAAGGCTGTGATCAGGATTTACTTTTAGGGATGAGTCAGAGTTTGAGGTGAAAACAGACTTTTACTGTTAAACTTTTGCCATTCTGAGCATAAATGTTTAACGAGCCGTGTTTCTATCTGTGTGAGAACCGCTTCATCGCGTCTGCCCGCTCACGTCCGTTTAGCCTGCAGGACGATCGATCTAAAGGCCGAGGATGTCGCTGTGCATAAAACACGATTTCATTAACAATCACTCCCTCCTTCTCCGCCTGATGTTTTTGCTGACCGTCAGAAGCAGCTGTCACTCGGATTAAATCATGAACAACGCCCTGTCCTCTGTTTTATGTCTCCAGATGTGAACGCCACCTCACAGTCCTCCAGCAGCAGCATCCTACCTCAGGTACTCGTCGCTCGTCATGCTTCGGTCTTTTCTCTCATTTTTCTTTTTTTTTTTCTTCATTTGGATGTTGCCACTCTTCACACAAGTAAAGAAAAATAAAGACATAAGCAAATCTCCATTTTAGTACAGAATCTTTTTCACAGGAATTGTGTTGAAAAATCGCTAAAAAGGCCAAAGAATGAACCAGCTGACACAAAACACAATGATCATCTCTTTAGATTAATCCGTCAAACTAAATAAATCAATTATTTTGAGAGAAAATGTGATTTTCTCGCTAACAAGTCAAGTTTTGAGGCTTGTTCAGGCGGTTTCTGGGTTACTTTGTGTGTCTTAAAGATCTGACGGTCAGATTTGCAGCTGTGGAAAGTGTTTAGGCCAGACGTTTCCTTCCTGGTGTGACTAGATTCAAGGACTGAACATAAAAAAGTGGAAATAAACTTTCCCAAACTTTCAGAAAGCCTGAAGAAGCATTTATTGATGCTGTTTAATGTACAAACCAAGAAACAAGCATCAAAAATATACTTATATTTTCAACTTTTGTGAATTTAGCAGAAGAACAATATTTAACTCCTAACATGTTATAAACTAGATGGCGCTTGTATGAAATTTAGGTCACACACAACTTAAAGTACCATTTTGGGGCAGATGTGTTATATCAGAACGCTTCAGGCTGAACGTCCAATGTGTCTTTAGATCAACAGCTTGAACTTTCCACAGTGATCCCTCGTTTATCGCGGTAGATGCGTTCCAGACCTGGCCGCGATAGGTGAAAATCCGCGAAGTAGGGACACCATATTTACAGTATTTATTTAACAGGTACGTATTCAGTATTCAGACTTTTAAAACCCTCCCTTTACATAGAAATACATTTTTACTTGTTTTTTTTATAGTTTTATTACAAAAAGTGCATTTTATGATGAAATTGATGAAAAAAAAAAATCAGGAATTTCTTGATATTTCGCATAGAAAAATACCGCGAATCGGTGAAAAATACCGCGAATCGGTGAATTTCCCTTGAATAAGGCTCCAAAGAAAAAATCCGTGAAGTCGTGAATCCGCGATAAACGAACCGCGAAGTAGCGAGGGATCACTGTACACCTTTGCTTTTTAGCATTTAAAAATAAGTAGCACCTCCATTATTTTTATCCTATAAACTGTATTTCTTGTGTTTTCTAGCATTTCCTGCTTTGTTGGAGGCACGAATTGCTGGTTGTTTAGACAAGTTTAAGCATTTAAGTGTGTGTGTGTGTGTTTGTGTTGAGTTGACAGGGGGAGGGTGTACAGATTTACCGTTCTCCTCTACAATAACATAAAACAACAATACTTGTTAAATATTTTAGATGGAGTTCTATATTTTCAGATGTGAGATCAGATTTCCAGTCATAGTTGACCAAAACATAAAAAATTGTAAAGATGCTTCTAGAAAAGTGTTCAGAACAAGCTAAGTTTTCAATCAATCAATCAATCAATCAATCAATCAATCAATCAATCAAATTTATTTATAAAGCGCTTTTCAAACAAAGTGCTTTACAAAATGACCCCAGATTCCCATAACAGGTTAAAAACATTAACAGACATATGCAAGCACACACACACGCACACACACACACACACGTAAAAATTATATTTGGCTGAGTCCAGATGAGCCAAGTAAGGTAAGGCAAGGAAACGCCATCAGAGGAGCCATCTGCCCCGGCAGCATCACGTCTCCCACACTAAGTCAGGGCGCTCAGTGGAGGGGGAGCATAGACCCCCACCTATAGAGCGCCCAGGAAGCTACAGTCGACCACCGCTCCCGGGGCAGAGGGCCCCTACAGAGGAAACACTGGATTAAAATGAGTAAAAATATAATAAAAGAGCTAATATAAATGACAAAAGTTAGAAAATAAGTAATGAATAAAATCATATAGACAGTAAAATAATAATATTAAATAATGAAACTGTGCTAAAATATAATCATATAAAACATGCAAAGCAAGCAATAAAATATAATCTTGTAAAACGAGAAATAAAACTTTAGTAAATATTTAGATAAAAGCTAACTTAAATAGGTGCGTCTTGAGCCTGGACTTAAAAACATGAACGTTCTCTGCGGCCCTGAGGTCCTCTGGCAGCTCGTTCCAGAGGCGAGGGCCATAACAACGCAAACACCGCCACGGAAAACTTACCCCTCCCCTCGGTCATCTTCCCTGGATCTGCATCGGAACCTCGGAGAACCTCTCACACCAGCGGTGTTCTTTTGCTAAATACACAAGTGCGTAATGAATGGAGGACCCAGGGAAGTGCGGCGGTTTGGTGAGACCCACAACCAGATGGTCCAAAAGTTGCTGATGGTCCGAGACGTGATGCTGGTGAAGGGTTTTAGACAAATTTATTAAACATTTTTTTAATCTCCACAATATATTTATAGCTGTACTATGTTAAAGTTGTTAAGAGGCATGAAAAACAAAATGTTCCAAGTTAATTTGTTTTCCTAATTAGCTATAGCAGCTTAACAGCTACGGGTTGAGTTTTCCCTCTGCTCCTTTTTCATCAGCGCAAACCCTCTGCCCCTCCTAACGACCTGAGAGCCTCAAATAGGATGAGAGAGAGTCTCCACCCTCCTGGACGACTGGGATCCCGAGCACCAACAGGTGAGTCCACCGGTTTTAGTCGCCAAATATGGTGCAGCAACTCCAGCTGGTGCTGGTCCTAGTGTAAGGAAAGAGGCAGAGGGGCACGTTGGCCTTGAAAGTCTTGATCCAGGCATGTTGATGAAACTGGGCGGATGCATTTCAGTTAGATGCCAGGAAATGCACAATTGGCATTCTCCGGGAGCGGAGAGGCTTTGGCCCCCGGGGAGGAGGCTGATCGACGCGCTCTGGCAAGTGGGCGAGAGTTGATAGACTGCCAACGTGAAACCGAATTCCGGATCAGATTTTTAGATCCACGGCGCAGCTCGAAGTTGGACGTGCTGCTGCTTCTAGTGACGGGTGGAGCAGAGACGAGGCCAGGGCTGCTGGGATCTGCATCCAGGGAAGGTTTTTTCTTTGCAGAAGCGAAAAATGTAGAAACCTCGGCATGTTTAAGTATCGCTCTACGAAGTAGTTTTGGAAAAAGGGGATTTTCAATATTTTGCTACAGCATTAGGAGCGACTGTAACAGTAGTGCATGTAATGAAGCTGGTCGGAGAGCAAGGATGGATCTTGTTTCTTAACATTTTACCATCCACCCATTGTCATGTTCTGAGGTAATGATTTAACCCAAGACATGCAGAATCAATACACTGGAGCAGAATGTAAAAAAAAAAAAGATTTATTAGATAACTAGAACACAGGGTGAACTGGAAATCCAGCGAATGGGTAAACGGGAGCAGCGTCTGAGGGGAGAGGAGCAGAGGTGAGTCCTTGATAATATAATATGGTAGAGGATGAGCTTGGTAGGAGGACTTACAGACGAAGCGTGGTTTAGTATGTCCGAGGAGGGGTGAGCTGGGAGAGTGAATGAATGTCCAGGGATGAAGCTGAGCGATAGGGTTTCCAACCGGAGGAGAGAGAGAGCAAGTTGTGCCGAGAGCAATTTGTGCCGTTGGGAGGACGGGAACCGAGAGGGAAGTCCAGAAGTCGTATGGTCAGGTAGTGGTATATGCAAAAATCACAACGAGAATGCGGAGTATGGAAAGAGATGACTGAGCCTAAAACACGAGTCAAAACAAGAACAATAATCAGGGCAAAAGGTCGCTTGCAAAAAACACGTTTCTAAAGTCAAGGTTTCAAAATCGAAGTATCACTGTGGCTGGGACTCTACCAGTAAGGCGTAATCATCCGGCAGCTTAGCAGTGTCCTCCGTCCTCCTTAAGAAAGCCGCCCGCTGATCAGCTGATTGATTCCAGCTGCTGCTCTCTCTCCTGAAATCAGAGAAGCTCAACAAACAGGTGACGTCATGGTGTGTGGAGAGTGCTCACCTCCCAGCTCACAACACCCATGTCATCACTGCTTATTCAGCCTTGGGTCACAGAGGTTCAGAATGAAACCCAGAGATCTCTCTCTCCAGTTCCTTTTAAAGCCTAATTTAGACTTCTCCGTCTGCGTCGGGATGGACACGCAACGCCATTATCCGTCCTCGCGAGCCTGCTGGAGAGCCCTTGCAAGGACGGACGCAGACGAGCTCTCTTTTCTGAACATCTGTCCGTCGAGACAGAGAACGCAAGCTTGTGATTGGTCAGTACACCGCTGTCGTCGACGGTGCCGCCACTGCGCCCTCAAAAACACGAAGAGAGCTGAGGATGTCTAGTGATGCACACGAAGCAGCTTGAAGAATACGTAGCGGAAAAACTCTAAAAATATAAACATTTTCTCCCCCCGTGACTGGAGGAGGGAAAAGACGCGCAGCAACTGTTTTATTCGTGGACAGAAATGTTGGGAAATGTGGGTTTAGAGGTGGCGAATGCACGAAGAGGTGGAGGAGAATGAGAGACAAATTTGTCCGTGTTTAAAAATCTTAAATACAAAAAACGCAATATAAACACACCATCTTAGACCGGATACATGACAGGATACCACAGAACAGCGCTACGCCCTCTGTTGTCCTGGCGGGGAACTGCTTTGTACACTTCCCAGGAGTCAGAGAAGCGTGAAGGCAAAACGTCTCCGTCTGTCCGTGCGTGTCCCTCTCTCATGGAGCTGACAAAGTATAAATTAGGCTTTAGGCTTCCGTAGGTGTTCCTGTTAGAGGTACCGTGATCACAAATTGGTTATTGGTCAATTTGAAGCTCACACTTTTCTTTATTACGGCCCGTGGATGCATTACTGCTGAGCAGCAATTGGAAAACAGTCAGATTTCTGGTCCATAAACTCTCCATTGCAACTCCCTCTAGCATCAACAGATCTTTCATGTAGCAGTGTTTCAAGGTCCATCTATCCATTAGTATTATGCCGCTTATCCGGGGTCAGGTTGCAGGGGCTGTAGCCTAAGCAGGAAGACTCCGACTTCCCTCTCCCCAGCCACTTGGGCCAGCTCCTCTGGGAGAATCCTAAGGTGTTCCCTGGCCAGACGAGAGACCTAGTTCCTCCAGCGTGTCCTGAATCTTCCTTTAGGTCTCCTCCCAGTTTGGCATGCCCCGAAACCCTCATGAGGGAGGCATCCAGCAGACTAGATGCCCGAGCCACCTCAACCAGCTCCTCTCGATATGGAGGTGCAGCAGTTCTACTCCAAGCCCCTCTCAGATGGTCGAGTTTCTCACCTTATATCTAAGGGAGAGCCCAGCCACCCTGCAGAGAATACTAACTTCGGCCGCTTGTATCCGTGATCTCGCTCTTTCGGGCACTACCCTAAGCTTGTGACCGTAAGTGAGGGTTGCAACGTAGAGTGGTCGTTAAATCGAGAACTTTGCGTTTGGCTCGGCTCTCTTCACCAAGACAGACCAGTACAGCGCCCGCATCACCTTTTTAAACAGGGGGACCACCACCCCGATCTGCCAATCCAGTGGGACTGCCTCTGATGTTCATGTGATACTGCAGAGTCAGCCAAGACAACCCTACAACAACCTGTTTCAAGGTTTTTAGCTTTTTTCATTTTTCAAAAGCTTTTCTATTATGTATATATATATATATATATATATATATATATATATATATATATATATATACATATATATATATATATATATATATATGTATATGTGTGTGTGTGTGTGTGTATATATATGTGTATATATATATATATATATTATATATATATTATATATATACACATATATATATTATATATATATATATCGGTGCTCCAGTTCCTGTGGATCCGTCTCTGTGAACAGTCAGGGGACTGAACCTCAGCACTCTGTGTGGCAGGTGGAGGGTGTCTGCATGCTCAGAGAGCGGTGTGGCCATGTTTATTATCTGTCAAAAACACAATGCTGTCTCAGCAGAAACTGCACATATCCTGACAGATTCCCGCTGCTGTGAGGTGTTTTATTGAACAACTCCCCGAGGATTTTTTCCTCTCTGGTTTCCTGGTCTGCGAATAATTCCAAAATCCCTTTTCTCCCTTAAACATAAATATTTACCTACTAGTAACACATCTTCTGCTCTGTTATTGCTGCTGCCTGACCCACAAGGCAGAAAGTCAGAATTTAAACCCAAACCAGACCAGAGCGGATGGAGCAGCGACAGGCAGCGCTGCCCCTAATCCCAAAAATTGTGACATCATTGGTCAAATATTGGCCTATCTATCCTTGCCAAGTCAAGTACACCTCCTTAGTGACCTCACTAGTGTGTAAGACTTACGTGGTCGGCAGACTGGGTCGTTTTCCAACAGCAGAACTGGATGAAAGGAGGGTCTCTCCGAGAGTTAACACCAGTTGGGACCATTGGAGCAAAACCGATGCTCTCATAGGGTGTTCACACTCCCCAGCTGCCAAGGGGAGCGTGGGTGTTGGCTGTGAGCGTGACATGTGTACAGTTCAATCACGCACCCTTACACACAGCCGTCCTGCACACACACACACACACGGTTTCTGTCTTTTACCGTAATTCGGTTCCTTAAACCTCCTTTAGGGCCATTTGGTTTTCTCTGTGTGATTTTCCCTTTTATTCTCCTCCTCTTGTTTAATAGCGGGTTAGAGGCAGCTGCACGCATCGCTCTGATGTGTGAAGGACAAACAAAAATGCTGCAACAGGTCATTACTTTCCTGCAGTGCTGCTGCCCCAGATTCTCTGCCACAAAACACCCCGTCACCCCAGTTGTACACACACACACACACACACACGCACGCACTCACGCACGCACACACACACACACTCCTTCAGCATGTGTCACTGCACTAATTATCAGGAGTCTGGCTGCTGGAGGATAGGGTGATTCAAATTTCCATTCCTGAGCCGCCCAACAGGTCTAGAATTAGAAGCTGAAGCAGAAGGCTGCTGGTCACACAGCGAACAGCATCTCTGCAGACGGGCGCAGAGCTGGGTGCACGCCAGCGGAAGCCACAGTTTAGTTCGAGTCGGGCGAACTGGCGCTGACTTGACTGTTGAACAGGAGCTTATGTGGCAGCAATTCCTCTGAGAGGAAGGAGGAGAGTTACATTTCTGTTAAGGACTTGTTTTCATTGGAGAGGGCTGCTGATGTAAGTTTCCGTCTTTCACGACTCTGTTGTTAAATTTGTGTGTTTTAAGTTTGCACAAATACCTACTTGGTGACTTGGGGAGATTCTTGGGGCTGGGTCTTGTTGGGGAAAGTGACCTCACAGCCAAGTGGGCCTTAGAGGCTTGTTTCAACTCAGACGGCTGCAAGCTGGGTTTGGAATTCAGCTCAACAGACGCCCTTTTCTCGCTCCGTCTCTCCTCTCTCCCTCTTCTCTCTGTTGCTATCGGTAGGAAACAATTGCAGATCTGTTCCAGGGTGTGTGTGTGTGTGTGTGGGTGGCTTCTTATTAGCTCTGGTCTAAGGAGCTGCCCTTCAAATGGAAGTCCACTTTCCGGCTCTTGCAAGCTGCCTCCTCTCTCTGTCTCTCTGGCTTCACTCAATGTTCTTGTTTTTCCCTGTTCTCTTCCAGATAACTCTCAGCTCAATCAGGATCAGGGAGCAGGGGTCCCGGAGCAGTTCACCGGCCTCTTGCACGGATCCTCTCCTGTCATCGACTCCTTCAGACTCCCCGGTGTTCTGCCTCCGACCCAAGCTCAGCCTGGAACAAAGAAATCCACCAAAGCAAAAGAGGAAGTATCAGCTGTTCCAGCGCCGTCTAACCAAACCAGCATGGCCGCCATCCTGACAGACTGTGATCCAAAGGCAATTTACGCCACCGTGAACAAGGAGCCAAGAGACTCAGGGGCAGGAGTTAGGATGCGCCCTCCCGGGGACCTGAAGCTGGCACGTAGCCTCTCCAAGTCTGACTCCGACTTGCTGGTGTCGCCTCCTGGTGAGGAGGAGGGGGGACTAGGAAACCGGAGCGAGTCCGTTTCTAACTGTAGCACCGGGAAGAAGAGGCTGGAGAAATCTCCATCCTTCACCTCAGAATGGGATGAGGTAAGAATTCCCGATGAATGAGTGATACCTCCGAGGTCTGTGCTTTCACAGCTCCACCACAAACTGTTGTTCTGTTGTAAACCCAAAGCCACCTGTTGTCTGGAGGGTGGCACCGATACCGTCTGAGCTCAAACACAGTAGCTTATTATGGTTTTTCACGCAAATGTTGACAAGAAAGCATCAAAATCAGCAGAATTCATTCTGCTTTGGCTGATTGTACATTAATTCCTAACCTCCATGGACATGTCCTCACTAAATGCATCCCCCGTTCCTTCAGCGCTTTAAGGCTTAGCCTGGAAGTGGTTGGAGGGCTGAACAGAGCCACGCTGCAACAGAAGATTAGAAAAGACGGGGATGAAATGAGTAAGACTCGGATCTGGAACGCGAGACTCGGAGAGAATGTGGAAGCTGCAGTTTGGGTCTCTGCTCAGCACCGTTGGGCTTGAAAAGGCACAAACACGCGACACATGGAGCTCATTACGCAGGAGAACATCTAAAAGAACGCAGGAGGAGTCTGATCAAATGTTTTTTTAGGTTAATAGAAATTCTCTCTTATTTTCTGTTAGTTTGCTTTTTAACCGTTTGCAGGTTGACAGATATTTTCTAAGCTTCTCAGCTCAGTTTCACTACAAGCTGTTCACTTGTGCCAATAACTTTTATTGAAGCTCTTTGTTCTTTTATCGGTACCTTCTGGCTCAGTTCTGTTCCGGCTGCGCCCGAGACATTCTCGGCACCTTGTATTTATGAAAGCCAGAGCGCGGCGGGCCCACGCTTTTACAGATCTTACTGCTGCCTTGTGACGAGCCGAGAGAATCGATGTCATGGCCGCTCTGAGCTGAGCCGGTGTGCAGGTCGGCACAGTTTAATGTTAAAACACCAAAACCACCGATAGTTGGGGGCATATTGAGAATCTGAAGCTTGCACCGTTTTCTGTTGGTCCTACACGATTTCTTAATGGCCTCCTCTAAACACGTTCATGTGTAAATATCTCATCACTTCTGTCAGCTTGTCTCTCATAAACTACCAGATGATGTTTCTGCTGCTCTCTGCTGACAGCTCTGGTCACACACCAGCTGCATTAGAGGGGCATTTATGTATGACAGCACCTTTACCCAGTGTTTGCTCTGTCTGGAAATCCTTCCATCAACACGTCCAACCTTGCATTCTCTCAGATCGTCAGAGCCAGAAAATGCTTCTGCAGCCTGGCTCGTCCTCTCAGGGACGTCTCAGGGAGCTGATGAAGACGGTTTTTACTTGATTTCATGTGGAGTGAAAATGAAAAGAGATGTATGCACTTTAGAGCTGAAACAACTAATCGATTTGATAGATTATAATCGATTATTAAAAATAGTTAACAACTTTTTTAGTCATCGATTAGTTGTTTAATAATAATAATAATAATAATAATAATAATAATAGTGCATTGCATTGCACTTGTAGTCAAAATCAAATGTCTCCAAATAATAAAAAAGTAATTTGAAGTTCTAAGTTGAAGAGAATAAAACATTATAGTGCAAGAAGCCAATGCCCTCGTATGTGTGTGCAGGGTCTCAGGAGGTTAAGGAGACAAGGAATGAAAAGGACTCGTTTGAATATGTATGCTCAGTCCATGCAGTTTTTAACTGTCACTTATAGGAGATTCTAGAAATCAATAAGATGTGATATTCCATATAAATATGAATTATCAATCTTATTGGTATTTGAGTATTTGATTTAATATGAACTTAGGGTCGACATCGACAGGTGGATTGGTTCGGCGTCTGCGGTGATGTGGACGCTGAGCCCATCTGTCGTGGTGAAGAGGGAGCTGAGCCAGAAAGCCAGGCTCTCGATTTACCGGTCGATCTACGTCCCAATCCTCACCTATGGTCATGAGCTTTGGGTAATGACCGAAAGAACGAGAACGCGGATACAAGCAGCCGAAATGAGTTTCCTCCGTAGGGTGGGATAGGGTGAGGGACTCGGAGTAGAACCGCTCCTCCTCCGGATCGAAAGGAGTCAGTTGAGGTGGTTTGGGCATCTGGTCAGGATGCCTCCTGGACGCCTCCCTGGGGAGGTGTTTCGGGCATGTCCTGCCAGCTGGAGGCCCCCTGGTCGACCCAGGACACGTTGGGAGAGGTTACATCTCCAATCTGGTCGCTTTGGGGTCCTGCTGGAGGAGCTGGTGGAGGTGGCCGGGGAGAGGACGGTCTGGAGCTCCCTAGTTGGGATGCTGCCCCTGCGACCCGGACCCGGGTAAGCGGAGGAAGACGATGATGAACTTAGGTTATTTGGACTACCAGGGAAACACACACGTCACTGTTAAAAAAAGACAGCCTTAAAAAGTTTTTTCAATTCATTTTTCCTGTTTCACCTAAGTCTCCCTGATACGTTAGAATTGTTCAACTCAATTTTGTTTGTTTTGATATTGAAAACTTAAAATAGCTTGTTATTTCAACAGGTGATAATATTTTCCTCATTCTCGTGCGTTCAGTCAACTGCAGTTTATAGATTAAACAATGACCCCGCCCACTGTGAAAACTGCAGTGGGTGAGGTGCATTGTGGGTAGTCATGTTCTTAGTTATTTAGTTCTAATTCGAGGTGCTTATGCACTTTTATTGTGGGCGCTTGTGTTGTTCTTAGTTTTTGCTTTGTTCAGTGTTCCAAAGGTGGGAGTTATTCGTTGTTGTTGTCATGTTGGCACCGAAAGTCAGGAGGGCGGTCGTAGGAATAAGAACGTTGTGCCGTTTCACTCCACTGCACTTAATAAAGTTGTAGTTCTCGCTAAATGCTCATGACTCGGCTCCTTGTGTTGTGTATGAGGCGTGAGATAGCCAGTATTTTTCAGTGTTGTTGTTAGCATCCTGCTTCACCGTTTGCCTGTATGGCATGGCAGCTGCCGTTTTGATAACATGAGTTCAAACAATTAATCCATTTGTTCAGTTAACAAAAACTTTTCATTTGAATACCATACATGTCTAACTCTTAATTTATAAGTTAACATAATGTGGAATTGTGTGTATGTTTAAGAAGGCAAAATGATTTTTCCACTTTGTAATCTAACAAGATATTCCAACAAAGCACAGTTATTATTTATGATATTTGTAGAGCAAAGTGTGTTCTGGTTTGGAGACCAGACAGTTAAGATGTGGCACACAGAACTTCAGGCAGATGAAACAGCTTGGACACTTCCGTGTGATGACCTCTGACCTTACAGTGGACAAATAACCAAATTGTTGGCCTTTGGTATGCTACAAAATCTTAAAAACTAATCTGGAAAGTTCTTAAGAGTTTGAATTTAACATCGCTGTAGCTGGAAGAACCCAGTTATTCTGAGAATGTCGCAGCTTGCCTGAAACTAAAGTCAATTATGACTACTCACTAGGGATGTATGAAAATATCGATAGTCCAAAATATCGCAGTGTTTTGCGTTATGATACTGAATCAATATTTAAAAGCAGATAATTTATTTAGTATTTACAATTAACGCGCTAACATTTACTGTTTTTTGTTTGTGGTGCAATTCAAACGTCAGCTGCTAGGTGGCAGCGGTGTTTACCACCTTCATGCTGACGGAATTGTCTGGATTGAGTTTCTCGATTAAATTCAGCCTTAAAGGGGCCCCAGGCGGTTTTGGCTTGCTTTTAGTACCCCGCAGTGGTCTTCGTAGAACCAAAAGCGAAACGCATCTCCTTGCTGAGCGTTCGTCTTTTCAACATCTTAGTCTAATTATGAAAATGATTTAAAAAATATGAAAAGGTTACTAAGTATCCCTTTAAAAATGCAGACATCATCTGATGTATCGTATCGTCTCCTTTGTATTGCGATATTTATTGTATTGCATTGCCAGATCCTTGTGTGACTGGGCACTTGAGCAGCAGCTGAACGAAAACATTAATCATTTACCTCTTCTTCTGATTTATGTTTATGTTTATTCATTTGGCAGACGCTTTTATCCAAAGCGACTTACAATTTATAACCTATAGGGCATGTTGTGATCTGTGGGGGAAACCGGAGCACCCGGAGGAAACCCACGCATGCATGGGGAGAACACGCAACTCCACGCAGAAAGGCCGCCACCGAGTTTCGAACCTGCAACCTTCGTGCTGCGAGGCCACAGTGCTAACCACTGCTCCACCATGCAGCCATGCAGATTTCTGACTGAATCTACTTGTGCATTTTTATTAACAATTTTACAAACACACCATGCACAGGAGAGAGTGTGACGGGGTTCCTGGTGGAGGCTGCTCCTCCTAAATCACCTATCATAACTCTGACTCGGCCCTGGTGCTTGTGTGTTGGTGCTTCTGCATGCATGAGGAAAATAGACTGAGCAGAGCTGTCCAGTAGGAGCCAGAACAGAAAGCATTGGTTTCCTCCTGCTCCAACGTGAGCTTCCACACGGCAGCAGAACTGGTTATATTGATGGCTTCCAGCTGCGAGGTTGGATGCACGTCTTCAGGCACTGGGATCGTGTGCCTCCATGCATGTTGCTGGGTGAACTCTTCTGCTTCTGGTTCTCCTGAATGTGTTTTAAATTCTTAAAGCAAGCTGCCGGCTGAGAGTGTGGGCATTTACTCCAGCCCTCGTTACTAATTCATCCTGCTGGAGTGTGTTTTGTGTACTGTCCAGTAAACCTGCAACGGAGTTGGTTTGCTTTCAAATTAAACCCCCAAAGTGCTTATGTAGAACAAAAGACTTGGGGCCTAAAGCAGACTCTTCCTTTGTGAGGCAAACGTAAGGCCACATCGGTACGCCTGACTTCGCCGCGCCGCCACAGCCCCACCTTCTGCAGAAAACTCCCATAAAGTGACGCCAAGCAACCCCAACTTGTCTTCAGTTACCTGCTACAAATTTGGGGTGATTATTTGAAAGGGCGAATTTTGGAAAATTTCCCAGTAAAACTTGACCTTTTAAGTCCTGAGGGGGCGGGGCTTATGTGACATCATCAATCGACCATTCATTTGTCTTCGGAGGGCGATGACGATCGTTCTTTAACTGTAATTCTTTCATTTATGAA